AAAGAAATTAACCACAGTATCAGCAGATGCTAGATAAGATATTGGTGCAATAATGTTTGATTACAAAGAGCGCGCTATAGGTCATATCATGTTATATTTTCGAATTTCTCTTTTAGTAAAAGGGCGTAAAAAGGTGCAAGATTTCTGCGTGCGGTTCGCTGAAGATCATTGTTAAGACAAAACAGACAAACAAGAGTAAAGTCTGGCTTCTAATACAAACTGCTTTACAGATCTAACAACATACAAAATTACCATGCATTTTATATGTTTACCTTTGTAAACTGATAACGTTAGAATTGAATTACTTGAACAAATTTTTATTAAAAAGAACTGACAGCCTAGTACGTCAGAAAAATTAATCAACTACCTAGACAAAAAAACCCCTAAACAGAAAAATTTTATTTTTTTTCCAAATTATAAATTTTGTTATCCTTTAAAATTCGATCGACATCAAAACGTTGTTATTTCACAATACTAAAGATATTTCATTTTAACAAACATTTCATCTACGTTAGTAAGCAGTATATCATGTTGCTACTTGTTCAGTAACGCCTGAAGTTTTAACTAGTGTTTGCATAAAATGTCAGGTGCATATGAAACTAAGTAAGCTTTGAAAAACTGAATCCCGTTTTCTGCTATCTTGTATCTATGTGTTGGAATATCATCAATACTAAAATAACTCAGCTTTTGTATTTGCTGTGCATGTTTGCGATTTTCTTATTTTAAATTCTACGTGAATTGAACTGAGCTCGGCACACCCAAAAGGATTTTAATTACTTCAGGACGCAAAGGGATCGTTCACAATGAACACACTCGTACCAACGAATTAAATATTAATTTGATCTAATCATGCAGGACCATGAACAATTAATACTTCAAAGCGTTCTGTGTTCTCACAAAGTCAGCCATAAAGAGTTAGCTTCACAGTTCAGGGGATCAAAGGATCTCATTAGAAAGAAACAGCGAAGCTTTGCTTGCCAGCTTGGTGAAAATTTGACAACTCTTTCAATCTGCAGTTTTCGTCAATTTTCTTGACACATAAAATGAAACTAAACGATTCAAATATTTTGACGTTAAGAATTGTGGCTGTTGTAGTCTTAATCTCAGCTGCAAAATGCATCTTTGGGGAATTTCCCATCCCAGTTGGTTTGTATGCCAAACAGTTTATGATTTGTGCTTTTGCAAGCCACTTAGAAAGTGTTTTGAAAGTTGGAAGTAACAAATTTTATCTTTTTCCCGATTCAGAGACAAAAGGCAGTGACTTTATTGTGAAGTTTCAAGGTAAAATTGTTAGCTGGAAAAACCTTATAGAACTGCTCCGCCAGCAAAACTTCACCGTGCCAGATGAAGGGAGTGTTCTTGCTGCAGTGCATCGAGACAAGGGTTCTCGGGATCAGTCGTGTAAACACAGATGTTTCTTGGATGAAAGAAGATCTCTTTCTAGGACTTGCTTCTGTGACAAGGCTTGGAGCACATTCGGGGATTGTTGCTTGGACTTCCATTTAAAGTAAGGCTTAAGAAGCAGCCATCCAAACTAGGATTTCCAAATGAAAAGAATTCCTTAGACCTTGAAATAGTAGTGAAATATTACTCATTTCTGCCCGTATAGTCTGTAGCAGTAGTTTCAACCGCTTTACAACCGCCTTTCTTGGCAACGTTTTTTACAATGTCGATCACTTTCTTTCCACGAAGTGTTACTGTGATATTTTGCATCGGTTTGGAAACGCAGATATGCCCCTATGTGAAAGATATAACTTTACTGCCTAGCGAATAACCAAAAAAAGACGATTCGTGTCCAGTTGTTAGGACACAGACTGAAGTGTGAACTATGCACTTCCTCCCTCAAGTGAGTTTCCGTGTGGTTGTCGTGCAAGCGTAGCTTTACGATCGAGGTAGTCCTATCGG